AACACAAAAACATTTTAGGAATCAGCTAACGTACATTGGTACATTGTATCCGATATTCCTGAAAAATATATAAACATAAAACAATTATAAGAAACAAAAATAGGATATAAAGCGTTTACTATAATCTGTTCTAATTCTGCTTATCATACAGAATCTGTGACAGGTAGGAGACAGAGAGGAAGGCCAAAGGGGAGATTGATGGATGCCGTAAGGGAACACATGCAGGTAGTTGGAGTCAGAGTAGAGGATGCAGAGAACAGGGAAAGATGGAAATTAATGACTCGCTGTGGCAACCCCTGAAAAGGGACAAGCCGAAAGGAGAAGAAGATACAGAATCTGTGACAATGGAGTGACATCAAATATATCTTGCGTGCTTTACCCGCGATTATATGCTTGACAGGCCAGATGCTATAAGGACACGTGAAGAGGTGTTAACGTCATTTGCTTGTTACGGGTACGGTTGAGAATGTATTGTATTGTATTGTATTGTTTATAATGTCAAGAACAAAGAAAGTTGAGTCTCGAAAGATAGGGAAGAATAAAGAAGGCAGGTAAGAATAAAAAGGAGGAAGGAATGGAAGGAAAGTAAAGAAAAGAAGGCTGCATGAATTAAAACCGAGTCTGAGGAAGGAAGGAAGTCGGGAAGTAAGGCAAAGTCTAACAGAAAGGTCTCATCACAAAAAGATCCGTTTATTATGTCTGAAATACATATGTTTGTTACATTAGAATTCCTGTCAGATAGAAAACACCATAGCTTTTTAAAATATAAGCAATGTACATTTAGTCATTCATTCTATTTATTTATAGCTTTTAAAATACACATCCATAAATATTTCATATCTCTTTTGGTCGTCATTCTATCTTACAAAAAAACAAAAACACCATACAGTGAATGTTAGAACAGTTGAAGGACCAATATTGAGTCAAAACGGCAAAGCCATCGTAGTCAATGTAGATGCCATGAATGCGTTACGGTAATACATTTTCAACAGGTTTACATCACCATGACGGGTACGAGTACACTTTACATATTTGCGTATGCAGAAAAACACAAATGGTGCAAAGACGTCAAGCACTATTGGACCACACAACTACAATGACAGGTAGCATCACACAAGAAGAGACCACAGAGAGGTTCTAAAGGTTTAAGACACATGGGCAATGCGGACACCTTAACGTAATGTCCCTCTCCCAAATGGTGATTCAGAAAACTCCAAATTAATTAACAGTCAAGAGTCGAAGCTTTAGCGGTTCTTTGCTGAGGTTGTACAGGATATCTAGGCGGCGCTGGAGCCAGGCCTGGCAATGAGTTTTTGCCTGCTCCTTAAGTGCCCTTTGCAGGAGTAAACACTCTGGCTTTAAATACTGGAAACTTTGTTTGTAGAGCAGTGTGTTCAAGTACAGAAAACTAGCAGATGCTGACAAACGCCCTAAACACTCAATTTAAACATTCACAGGCCTACTCTGTTTTTAAGCGACAAACAGCAATTCCAATGAAGTTGGGACATAGCGTGAAACAAAAATAAAAACATAATACCACAGTTTTCAAACCCTTTTCAAATTATATCCAATTGAATACACTGCAAAGATATTTGCTCAAACTGATCATTGTTCTTATCTTTTCACAAATAGTCAAGAAGAGCATTAAGAACAAAGTTTCGAGATCATAAAATTGCAAAGACTTTTGGGATTTCATCTTCTACGGTCCATATCCTCAAAAGATTCAAAGAATCTAGAGAAATATCTGTACAGGAGCGGCAAGGCCAAAACCAACATCGAATGCCTGTGACATTCGATCCCTCAGGCATCAATGCACAAAAAAAACGGCATAACTGCAAAACCAATAATGCCATTTGTATCATATTTGATACATGCATTTTCATTCTGTAACTCATTCTTTATATTTCATTAAATCATCTGTATCAAATTTGATACTGCAGGTAATTTTCCGCAAATTATCATTTTCAGATGTAATCTACATAATGCTTATCAATGTGATACGACAAATATCTAAAACAACATGATATGGCAAAAATATTTTTGTGGATTTTGTTATAAGGGTTAATGAACATTTCAGTTCCCAAAAATCAGATTTTTCTGGCTATTCCTTGATGGATCAGGCATTACAGGGTTTTAAATGACATTGACATGTGGGCTCAGGTACACTTCAGAAAACCAATGTCAGAAAATACAGTTCGGCACTACATCAGTAAGTGCAACTTAAAAGTCTACTATGCAAAACAAAGGCCATTTATCAACAACACCCAGAAACGCCGCTGGCTTCTCTGGGCCCAAACTCCGCCGGAGAAGGACTGAAGCAAAGTTGAAAAGTGTTCAGTGGTCTGAGTCGACATTTCAAATTCATGTCCTCCGGACCAAAGAGGAAAAAGACCATTTGGATTGTTATCAGCGCAAAACTTCAAAGTTAGCATCTGCGATGGTGTTTTTGCCCATGGCATGGGTAACTTGCACATTGATGAAGGCACCATTAATGCTGAAAGGTGCAAACAGGTTTTTGGAGCAACATATGCTGCCAAACAAGCAATGTCTTTTTCATGGACGTCAGCGCTTATTTCAGCAAGACAAAGCAAGCCACATTCTACATCTGCTACAACAATGTGGCCTTGTTGTGAAAGACTGCGAGTGTCTGCCAGCAGTCCAGACCTGTCTCCCATTGAAAAGGTCTAACCTGTAACGCATTATGAAGAGCAAAATACGGAGATCCCAGACTTTTGGAAAGGTGATGTAACACAGTGGTACACATGCCAAAATACAAATGATCAGTTTGAACATTAAATAACTTGTCTCCATTGTGTATTCAATAGCATGCCGATTATAAAGGATTTGCAAAATCACTGTATTCTGCATTACACAACGACCCATCTATATTAGAATTGGGTTTGTATTAAATTGCAGAGACCCGACACCGACATAATTGATGCATTTTATTATAAGGCATGAGTGTTGTTTGTATTGGCCGATGTAAACTTATTCTTTGATAATAAAAATTCACTTATTAGAAACTCAAAATTACGCAATGGTGCATCTCAATAAATTTGATTACCGCAGAGAAGACACTACATTCCAGTAGATAATTTGAAAGAGCAAAACTCATTACAGTGAACCCTTGTATATTGGCAGTTCGGCATTCACAAATTCACCTATTTGTGGATTTCTTTTTGAAAACCTATCCTGTATCATTTGCTGAAAACTCATTCGCTTTTTTGTTCTCAAGTCAGTGCAATATGTATGACTTTAATGCCATCTTGTGGCATCTTGGTGCCAAGGAACTTATGTACATTGAAGTGAATTCAGGAGCTTCATTTAACCGTAGACGTGAGTAGTACTTTGCAACCATCTGGTGGCATCCTCTAGCAAAGGAGATCCGAAGTTTCACTCAGATAAACGTATTACTTTTTTTTGCCATCTTGATCCATCTACAGGCAATTATAAACTGTTTTAGGAGGGTGTGAATTACCTGCAGATTTTTACTCTGCGGCAAGGCTCAGTCCCTATCCCTTTACGAAGAGCAGAGAAAAATATCTCCACATTTATTACAGACAGGAAAACACTAAGCCAAATACTACCTCATTTCTTTCTTAAATATTTTTTGTGTATAATTTCTTCAGATGATGAATTGTGAGGTTTTTTTTAAATCTGTAAACCATAATCATCAAAATTGCTTGTAAAAAATAAATCTGAAATATTTTACTCAGTGTTTCACGATTCAGTTTTCCCCAATTTTCTGGTTTGTTTATTGTGTATCTGTACAGATCTATGTCGTATCTATGAGAATCATAAAATGTTGAACAAGCAAACCTTTTGTATGGTTGCTAAGAGACAGAAACTCACTCGCAGCTACAAAAGCTGCCTCAAGTGGTGTCTCATTGCGAGGCCCAGACATCGAAAGAAGCCACCACGCAAATGTGCCCGCTAATGGCTTGTGATCAGCATTGGGATGCTTCTACTACTTAAGACTGCTAGAGAGCCAGAAATATCCCACTAGCTTATGAGATCCAAACAACGCAAAGGAAACGACAATGCTTTAAAATGTGGACACGACCATCAGCCTATCATTTCATTTTCTTCTGCTCCTACAGTACCGTACCGATGACCTTAATTTAAATCAGGTCGGACCTAATTAATAAAACCTAATGCCAGCGTGAATTGCCAAAAGGGCTTATTTTGCCAGATCCCCGCATGTGATATTCCGTATAACCTGGATGACCCCCTCCACGTGTCAGCGGCCTCGTGAAGCGGACCTGGAAATATAATACTGGGGTTTGTTTTACGGGAGCGGATGCATCATTCATGTCAAAGATGGTCTGTGAGGTAAGAAGATTCCAGAAACACAGATTGAAAATAACTTTTTAGGATGTTAAGATATTTGAAACCGTGCTGAAACCGTTTTAGTTTTCACACCATAGTCTGGCAACCCATCTAAGCAGCAAACGAGTTGGGAATGAATTATTTTTGCCATCAGCTGGTTGGTGTAGCAAATGGTCTCATGCTAAACTCTTCCTATTGGCTTTCTTTTGATTTCTGTGGCAGCCTGTCTTGCATCCAAATGATGTAACTAGTATGACATCATGACGTAGCGACATACAGACTTGTTTTAAGCCGAACAATTCAGAGACCAAATCGGTGCCATGTGGGATCATCATCATGCACGCCGTGGGAAATTATTTCACGAAATGAGTCTGAAATCTATTTATTAATGACAACTGATATGGTGGTTGGCACATTTGCCTCTCAGTTCTGAAGTTTTGTGTTCAAATCTGGGCTCCGGCCTTCCTTGTGTGGCGTTTGCGTGTTCTCCCAATGCAAAAACTTGCAGGATCAAAATATACAGACAAGACTCATGAAGTTTGGGTTCAAAGACGACATAGTAATACGAAGAAAAGACACCCAAAAGGCCAAAGTTAACAACCATCATCAACAACTAGTTGATGTTTTCACACATTCAAAGAGTCAACGTGTTCAATTAGAAAGACACAACACAGCCGAATCTATCTTTATTTAACGCACGTACATCTCTATTGTTGTTATTGCTATACTACATCCATGACAGAGAGCGTCATACTGACTTACACCCTGTCGCACATGTCGCCGGAAATGGGGGGTCATGTGATCCGCACGTGTACTTTGAGCAAACAACCTCTCCAGTTACGCGTCCTCGCATTTCAATCTCTCCGAGTTAACATGACAGGAAAACCAAAGGCCACCGAACAACCTGCATTATAATGCGGTTGCTTATGAATACTGTGCATACATTTCATTTATGTAACGTGATCATCTGTGAAATGACAGAGTTTCTAACAGGATATTACTGACTTAAAGCAGGAGAGGAGGAAATTCAAATTGACCGTGAAATTAAAGTCTAGTAATATCCAGCGTCTGAAACCAGAAAATCCAATTAGACTAAGCTTCATATGAATATAGAAATCACAATATACAAATATACAATATTATTAGCTGGGTTCTTTTTTTTTGTAGTGACAGTGTGCAAGGGGTCCAAATGCAAAAACAGCAAGTAAAGATTAATTAGAGGTGTGTGGGTTGGGGGTCTTAAATCCAGAAGCACTTATTTAGGATTCATTCAATAAATAAATTAAAATCCATATGGCCTCCTGACACTATTGTAATTTAAATGCTTAAAAAGAATTTCATCCATTCAATGTGACATTTTCAATGCTTTTTTTTCAAAATAATTTATTGATTCCATGTGACCCTTATATGATCTTTATATTAAATATGAAGAATTAAATAAAATCTCAGAGTATTTTCTGATACGTTACTAATTCAACAAAAATGGAGTTGAGTTAGACTGAGGCTTAATGTTCTGTCAGAAAATAAAGCGGTAATTTTGCGTCATTCAGAAAAGGCCTCTGTTCAGTTCGAACCACGGTAAGACTCTCACAGAGTGGAACTCACACTGCACCGGATAAAGGGACGCATCCCGCTCATCAAGAAACGACATCAGATGCGTCCGTTGCTGTGCGTGCTACTTCGGCGCCCGCTAAAGTTATGAGAGGTGTAGTGCAGCTCGGCCGCGGAGAATGTGGCTGCGGAGTTGTTGGAGGGAGGATGAGTGAGTCCGGAGGCCTCGCAGGCCAGTGCCACTTGCCTCAGGGCATCCAGGGAATCCATCTTGGCGCCGCGGAGCAGGTCGCTCTGACCCTGACGCAACATTAAGAGGACATCAATGTCTCTGAATGATTAGCAAAAACACGTTTTTTTAAATTCTTTAAATTATTGGTTTAAATTTGAGTCAAAATATAGCGTTGCACTCAAAATGAATTGACACATGGCTTAATAAAAATAAAAATAAATGAATACTGGTAAGAAAAAAAATGCTACAATGTCAAATAGACTTTCATCTTAACCCTTTAAGAGACAACGGTTACGAGAGTGGACACCTATTCAAATGTTGTTTTCTCTTATATTCATTCACTCATTTTCGGATCCGCTTATCCTCACAAGGGTTGTGGGGGGTGCTGGAGCCTATCCCAGCTGCAAACTCCCCACAGGGAGGCCGAAGCTGGAATTCAACCTGGTACCTCTGCACTGTGAGGTCGACACACTAACCACTGGACCACCGCCCACTTCTCTTATATTAATGAATCTTAATGTCGCAGTTGTGAATCAAAAACTACATTGGACCCATATGTCTGTTGCCTTCCACTGCCATAAATTTTTTCATTACGAAAGACTGATTAAAAAAAAAAAATCCAGATGTAGGTTAGAATTATTTGTGCATGAAAAGGTTTAATATTTGTGAACTGTATGTGTTTTACTTG